ATTTTGTGAAGGGAAAATAAATTTTCGACAACAATGGACAAAAAAATCAGTATTTTAAACAAAAAATCTGGGAAAAATCACGAATTTTTATTTATTTATTTACAATTACTTTCGAATTAATTGGTATTTTGAAACAAAATCAGTCAACGTTAAGTTCACATTTTAAAAAAAAGTTCTTTTAGCATGCCAAATTTTAACTCCGTAGTTGCATTTCAGCAGGCTACAAATCTATCAAAAAAGAGGATTCTCACTGCCTACTATCTTTTCGCAAGTTAAAAAACCGCATGCGAATGAGAATCAGTTTGGAGGAAAATATTTACTTGCAAAAATTTCCTTACTCAGGTTTTAGTCAAAATGTCATTTTCTCCTACAAATTTAATAGTCCCTGGGTAGATTTCTAAAATCTTTCGAAATTTCTAAGTCTTAAAGTTTTTGCACAGCAAGACAAAATATAACGTTCAGTTAAATACCCAAAACAGCGGCGACGAATCTTGCGATTTTTTAATATAGATAGAAAAAAATTCATGCTGCTTTAATATGTTTATATTAATATGTTTAAAAAAGCTATAATTATTTTTGCCGACACAGTCTCAATCCCAGCAATGGCTCGCACCGAACATAGCGCTGATAGAAAATAGGCTCATTGGTAGATGGATCATGGGTTAGAGTCCCCTTGCCGCCAGTCAGCCTAAGCGTGGGATGTTTCCGTGGTTTTTCTCTCCCTGTAACGCAAATGCGGTTTCGTTCTATCAAGAAGTCCTTCCCAAGGCAAATTTCTTCAAATACTTCCTCATGGAGTTCCCTTGTCTTCTGGATTGGGTTCAAAATTAGAAAGCTATGAAGTTGAAAATTGGTAGTCGTTAAATCAAACCTGTTCAACGACGGTTATAAAATAAAATAAGACACAGTCTCGATGAAATTGAAATATAAAAATACTAAATAAATAAACTATTGTGTGTATATTCAGTTTGAAAATCTATTTACTTTAAACATTTTCATACATTGCTAATTTAACAAAAAAAAAAAAAAAAAAAAAACTATCACTTTGGAATAAAAGATGCATGGAATTTATCTGAAAGTCAACTAAATCACACTGTCGATGTAAATTATACCAAGCAGTAGACGGATCATTGGTTAGAGTCCCATGGTAAAATTGGGTTTTTCAAGCAATGACAGGTTTTTGTGCTTTTCCTCTCCATGCAATGCAAATCTGGGTTAGTTTAATCAGAAATTCTTCCACGAAGGCACATTTTCCCTAATGATCCAGGAGTCTTCACTGTTAATTTCCAAATTACATAGTTAACTATGGATAGACGTAAATTCGACAGACGATAAAATTGTTGTCAACTTTTTTATTCTTTTGAAGTCAAAATGAGCCATTAAAATGTAGTTCAAACTGTAAATACCGAATACCGACTCAAAAACTGTAAATACCGAATACACTTTCAAAAATCCCCCTTTCTTTAACATTAAAATCAATACTTACCAAAAATATTCCTAAACTTTCAGTTTCATAAATTAAATTTTACCAATTTTCTCGTGTTAATACAAATTTGTCCAGTATTATTTGCACAGTCATTGACGAAATGCGGTATTTTTTTTTATAATAAATTACACCGGGAAACAAATTTTTTGTTTTGCGCCGCATCATATCTTTTAACAAATCTTAAGAGACCTTCGTAACGCCGATTTTAAATCTGCAATCGGTTTCTCTCTCCAAGCTACAGTTTTTATTTTTATTTTTTAATGACATTTTTAGTCTATTTCTTGTCGAAATGTGAAAGTTTAAAAACGCGATAAAAAAATAAAAGGGGTTTCCGTAAATGTTACAACAAATTTCTAAGAGAATTGGGGCACATCATAATTTTTTAAAATTGCATAGGAACCAATGCCTAGAAATGTCGTCACACGCCGCTAGGGTAGCTTCCCGATTATGACATGTTTCTTCATGTGCTTCTGAACAAATCAAATTAGGGAAGCATCCCTAGCCGCGTACGACGATATTTTTGGGCATGGGTTCCAAATGCAATTTTAATCCTGATGATGTGTGCTAACTCCCCAAAAAGTTTGTCGCAAGAACCTGTTATATATAACGTTTTTTTGACTTGTACATTTTAACACAAGAAATAGACCAAGTATGTGATTTTAAAAAAAAATCTGTAGTTTTATGAACAAAACTAATTACCCAAATTAGGCAATTTCAAGTATTAGTATAAAAGCAACAAAAAATTTGTTTCAGTGTTATTTAAAGTAAAATACAAATGACAAATTTTCGCGATTTACTTACTGATGGTCCGATTATAATAGAAGTGATGTTAGTAAGAGTTTAAAAAAGAGAAAAAAAACCCATAGGATTTTAAGTAAAAATCAGTAATAGATATCGAAAGTTCAAGTTTCTCTTAATTTAAATCATAGGTTTCCAACCAATGATTTAAATTAATGAAATGTCCTTTTTTACCTCATCGTCCACTTTAAAAAGTTCTCAACGTCTCTGATATAAAAAGTTTTAAACAAAAGTTTATTAAATAATTTAAAGAAATATTTCTTAAAATTTTTTATTAGATACATTTTTATTCGCATCACTATTCTATTGAAAAAGTTACACTGACTAATAAATTGATATTTTAACTTTTATGTAGCCAAATTTTTATTAAAGTAGCCCTCACGTAAAAATTATAATTGTTTGCTTGGAAATAAATTCGATGCCTCACCTTTCTGTTTGAATTTAACAATAAATTAAATATTACCAATTTAAATATTAAACTATATACTTTTTATAAGTCTGGGAAAAATTATAAATATAATTGAGAAAAACTGCGATCTTTTAATGTTTCCAGTATATGTAGTACTAAGTCAAATATTTGCAACAATAAATTCAGACAAATATAGTTTACAAACTTACTATATAAAATTTCAAGTTTTTAGAAAAAAAGAATGAGAAGAATAATTTACCTTGTATCTCTTTAAAAATATATATACTGAAAACTAATTAAAATTTTTTTCAACAATTTGATAGATTTTTTAATACAATTTGGTTTTCTTTTTTGAAAAAAAATGTTTAATTGCATCAAAGAGTGTAACGGCTATTTGGTAAAATTATACTCCCTGTTTATATTGGGAGCCGAACAGAAATAATTTTAATGTCATAAGAATATAACTGGACCCTTCAACGAACAGAAAAGGCTGCAGAATTCTTAATTTGATTTTGCGGAATATTAAGTTACGAATATCTGGATAAGAAATCTAATTGCTTCTGCAATATTTTACAGAAAAAAATCGGTTTGAATTACAGCAAGTTAAAATTTAGTGCAATTTGAATAAGTGAAAGAGCTGTGTTAGAAGAAAGGAATGTCACTGACTTAGAATATTTTTCAGATGTTTCAAATTAATATTGAGTTGTCATTGTCTAATTTATATGCAGCGTCTATTGAAAATGCGCAAATATGTATATGCTTACTATATGATATGTTGAAAATTATCAACCTTTCTGAGCATTAAAAAATTTAATCACAATTGCATATCTACAAATAACGTTTTCAGAGAAATGCGCTGAAATCTGACGTCCATAAAACCTGAAGACAGAAGCACTTAAATATTTTTTCCCCATATCCCAATGGGAGCATATGTCTTCCATCTCACTCTACTTGTGGCCAGATATTTTGCCTCCTTTCTCCATGTCTTTCCTTTTGCTTTCAATTCATTTACAATTGTCTTGCGCCAAGTATTTTTAGGTCTTCCTCTTTTTCTATTGCCCAGAGGGTTTCAATCAAAAACTTGATTTTCTTTAAATTTTTCAGGTTTACATCGAGCATGACCAATACATTCCCATTTACGTTTTTTAATTTCCCAAATCAATCGGTTTCTGTTTTGCATTTCTAAGGATTTCTTCATTACAAATTTTATGGAACCACTTGATACGCAAGACTCTTCTTAAACAATTATCAGTCATAATTTCCCTCATATATATAATATAATATATATATTATATATATATATATGATGCTTGTCTCAAACGCTTTTTCGACTGATGCAAGTAACGGACTAATGATGTACAAGACTCTTTGTTACATTATGCTTTATAGTTAGGAGAGGGTACTATACTTTGCAAAGATAAATAAGTATTTGCTGCAAACTTTTAAAAAAGTTATTTTAAAAATCGAAAACTATTACAACAGTATGTTAATAAATGAAAAAATATCAAAATAATTTATTAAAAATTCATGAAAAATATATAAATTGAATTTCAAAAAGCAAACAAAAGAAATCATCAATCTTTTAGTGCTAAAATTGTTCTCTATACTTTTTTCTCTCCCCCCAATGCCCACCTGGAGAATGACCTTTCATCATACAGGCATCTGAAGGGCAGATTTGTTGGCCACTTTCTCAGGGGCACCATATTAGGTGGGCCAACGTTTCTCCCGCAGTAAGGACAGATAGTACAGAGAATGAAAGAACATTCATGCATTGTCTGGGATTCAAACCCAGAACCTTTCTGATGTAAGGCCAGTTCCCTGACTCCTACACAGGCTGGTCTAAATAGGTACAGCAAGTATTGTTTTTACTACAACTGGGTAAAACAGAGATCATTTTCTAAATGAATTGTTAAATTAATAATTGCTTTAATAAAATTTAATGTATAAAAAATTAATTACGTAATAGTTTTTCAAAACAAACGAAAAATGTCAAGGTGCACTTGACATTTTAAAGTAAAAAAAACTTCTGAAAGTCGCATAAATTCTCCAGTAAATTCTAACGCCACCCCCCAGGATGCTTCAACACCTACACATTTTTAGAGATATTAATAGAAATGGGAAATTCTATAATTTTACAAATATTTTTTTATAAAATTTTAGTTATTCCTTTAAATGAAAACTATCAGAAATAGGTAAAAATGATAAAAACAGAAAATTCAGTATCACTGTATAACAAACCCTCTATAGCCATTTTTAGTTTTAAATCTTTCTATTGCTAAAATAGAAATTAACAACATAAAAAATAAATTAATGAATAAAAATATTTATTAAAGATGATTAATTACAAGAAAACTTTCTGCCCATTACTAAGCAGAAATTTTAAGAGTTAAAAATTACAACAACAAACATGTTAGGGAAAAAAAAACATTATTAATTTGAATACAACAAGCATGGAAGTAAATAAACAAGATTGTGCTTGCAATTAACAATGTTGTAAGTTTTATAAATACTTACTTATTATAACGATCACAATAATTATGTACAAGTTCAGTTAAGACAACTTCTTATATTCGTTGATTTCAAATTTCTTTTAAATTTTATTCGTGATAGTTAAAATACATTTTAGTTTAAATTATCTTAAATGTATTCAACATTACCTTAAAATTGTGATAAATATATAATAACAAGATATAATTTGAAAAAAAAAATTACAAAAAATTTCTTTTATGAAATAGACAATTCTTATTTGATTTTTGTTCCAGTATAAATCTATGTAACAAAATTAATATTTTAACAGAATAAGCATGTTTTAAAAATTCTTCTGTACAAATTTATTCAAAAATTAAATTTTTATCGTAAAAATAAATTTCACAGCAATTAAAAAGTCACTTACATTCCAACAAGATTCCAATTTTGTTATCAAAAAACATAAAACTTCAATATACAAATTTTATAAATATTCTATAAAAAACAAATCATTTAAGGACTTATAAACATGATAGAAACTAAACTTCATATAGTTATACTTACATATAAACAATTCCCAATGCCTAGATAATGCTGTAACCCTGATAATCCAACTTGTTTAAGGCATAAAAATGAAATTAAAAAAAGGTTTATATTCTGAATTTTTTTCCCTCCAAATTTACGAAAAATTGCTTAAAATTATCTAGCGACCTTTGAAATGTATTGAAAACAAATAAGATAGCTCAAGATATACAGGATGAATAATTTTTAATGGCGTACCTCCTTAAAATGTTATCATGCATTATATAGATTTTTTTTCTTCTGTTTTCTTTGCAAAAATGAAACTTAGTAAATTGTTATTACATGGACAACTGTAATTCTGTTATCTTTCTTCTTTTTTAAATTATTGTATCTCAAATTATTGTTTTTTCACAGCAGAATAAGTTAGAATTTCTGACTAAGTTGAATTTGATACTATATAGAGAGTGTATAGGTACTATATATATGGTTTACACACATAATGTCCATAATGGCCACATTTAATATACATTTTTAGAATGCTAAGTTTAGAATTAGGGAATAAATATATAAACAAAGAAAAAATATAAATCTAACAAATTGCTATAGTGGAAGAAAGTGTACAGAAAACCAAAACCTGTTTGATTACCAGAGGAAACAGAGAAGTTAAATAAAAATTATTAGAAACACCTTTAAGTTCCAATCAACAATATTTTGATGTTTTTTATCCTGTTTTTAAAACAATAGTGATTTATCTGACTTTGATAATGTTTTTGTCCTTTTCTTCAATAAAATCTCTATTTAATTCTAATAAGCATTCTAAAATATATATATTCAGGGCAATCTTTATGGAACACTCTGCATGGAAATTAAAAATAACAGGTTAAATTAGATGCTAAGCTTAAAAAAGAAATTACAAAAAATAATAAATATAAGATTCACTGATCCAAATTATTCAAGATTGATTGTCATTAATTTTTCATACTTATACTGTAAAAGAGGGATACCTCATGACTTGCAGAACACCGAGAGTGTTTCCTCAATAACAATTATTTAATTGCATTTTTTATTCTATCAGAAATTTAACATGTGGTATAATTAAAACTATGAATTTTTTAAATCTTTTGTTGTAATGGATAAAATAAATATTTTGTATAAAAAATACAACCATCAATTCATCATTTAACTTTGCATGAAAAAATATGATAAATTCAAATGCAGTCTGATTAAGTCAATAGACAAACATGAACAGTTACTGTCAAACAAAACAGACAAAAGCAAGCTAATAAAAAAAGAATACATTCAATATACATCGGCACAAAGAAAAACATTGTTCACAACCTATACTAATAGCACACCCAATACACAACAAGAATCCCGAGTGATAAAAATTACAAGGCGTGAAAAAGAACATAATTAAACCAGGAGAACAAAATGAATATCATCAAGGTCCAGCTTGATAACATTAAACACAATTTACCAAATGCACAATCACTATTGCACAAATGACTCATTCTTCATTAGTAATGGTAAAAAACATAAATGGGGGAAGAGGCGCACAAAACAAATGCAGAAAACGTTTCACATAGAAAAAAAGCTGCCGATTAGACAAAGAACTGTTGCTCAAAAGTACCGGAACTCTCCTTTCTTACCCTGGCGTTCCCGCCTAATTAAATCTGCAGGGGCAGGGCGAGGGTATCCTGAAGTAGGGGAGCGGGAGGTTTCTTGAGATCGTGTAGTGCCTTCATCCATATACTGTTCTTTAAGAGTTGAAGAATCCTAGTATAAAAAAATCACAATGAAATTTAAATTACTTAAAATTAAGGCAAAATAAATGTGAATAAAGCACATATAAAAGCACTAAAATAGGCATACTATGGGTGTTGTTTTATACACTAGAGAGCGCTGCAGGCTCTTTACCACTTACACCGAAGAGCCATTACATTATGACCACCCTCCATCTATAACAATGGGCTCAGGTTTTCATGGTTTCTCGCCTAGGAACAATGTTTTCATGGGGCACATTAAGACCCATAATACTCATAGAACAATCCCTGACGTCTGTAAGCTATAAGCTAATTAAACATAGTTGCAGACCAGGTTCACCCATTCATGGCAACAGTTTTTCCTGTGGGGGATGGTGTTTACCAACAGGATAATGCACCCTGTCATAAGGGTCGAATCGTCGAGGAACATTCCAGTCACTTTCAAGTCATGTCTTGGCCCCCATATTCACCTGATCTTAATCCAATAGAGCATTTGTGGTCCTACTTGGAAAACCAAATTCATGCTGCCACGCTACCCCCTGGCAATGTGAGGGAATTGCAGGACCAGTTGGTGAGCGCTTGGTACCAGATACCTCAGACTACCCATCAGCCCCTTGTGGAATCATAGCCACGGCAGGTGCTAGCAGTTTTGAGGGCTAAAGGTGGTCCTACATGTTAGTAGCAGGGTGGTCATAATGTAATGGCTCTTCGGTGTATATTTCTGGGTTACTGTATCCAGTGTATGTTGTTGTATAATAATAAATATTCAAATAAATAATAATAATTTTCAAAATAAACTTTGTTTTCTTACTCTAACTTAATACTAACATTAATGTTTGCAAGATGCTCTGCTTGCAAAGAAATAAACAAATATAAATAAACAAGTAAAAAGAAGCCAAATCAAAAAGAGACCAAAATATTGCCTGACACAATAGGCTGTAGTAAGCAGCTGTAAGCTTCCTAACCAGAATTTGTGAAGTTAAGGGAACTCGATAATTGTTTTTGTTTACATTTGTATTGAAAACATCCATAATTTCACTTTTAAAACACAAATGATTTTCAGTGTCTAAACATTATTAGTAGAAAACATCCCTTAAAGACCCTATAAGTGATATTAATAGCCAGGGTATTTATCAAATTTCTAGGCAGTGTGTCTTACGTCCATTGGACAAACAAAATGTATCTTTAAACTTCAACTTAAGACTTGAAAAATGTGTTCGAAATTGGGATACTGAAGGATCTTCAATGCCCTTCATAGTTGGGATTCTCTCAAGTTTGAGTTTTTTTCAGCTAAAATTAATCAACACTGCTCTTTAACACAGATTTTCGGAAATGATTCCATATTCTGAAAATAATTTAGTCAATAATCTTTTTAATATCTCACTCTTCCCCATTTAAAGAACAGAAACTACAGTATGTCTATTTCTGCACTTTTATTTGTGCTTTGTTCACATTATTATTATTATTATTTTTGCTTTAGTCTACATAACTTAAACTATACCCTATCCTCTTTTCAGATAACTAAAATTATCTCAGTTTAAAATTTTCTCTTTTTTTCCCTTTCTTTATATGATGCTTTTTCACCAGCGATGGAATGATGAATTAAACTGTTGCTTTTCGATATTACGATTTGTAATTTTTGCAATTTACATATATATTTTGATAAAAAATACTAATGAAGCTAAAAAATATTGATAAAAATAATGATAAATATATTTTATAATCATTTTTTTATCAGAAGTACTTCAGGGAGAAAAAAAAACAATTTTTTAAACTTCCAAAAAAATTCTTACGTTTTCATACATCTCCTTTACTTTTACAAATTACTATTAGAGAAATATGCATATACACCTGATAATAAATGTTTAAAATCCAAAGAATTTGTTGAGATTTCAAAGTTATGCGTGCATATGCTTTTTTAGTTTTAAAGGCTTATTTTAATAGTTTTAGGGTAATGCACACATTTTATATTATTATTATAATTGAACTTACTGTACTATAGTAATTTTCTCTACTACTTCTTGAGCCATATACAGGATTATTGAAGACATCATCATCAACAGATGGGTAAGGAGTTACTATTGTATGAGGCACATGAGCAACTTGACCCCTCATGTTTCTAGCTTTCCACCATTTACGACTATCATCTAAGACCTATGAAATAGTATCAATAATTAGTTGTTGTAAGAATTGTTGTAATACCTGAACCTACATTTAATTATGTGAAAAAATATTTTTAAATTCAATATCAAAAATTTCAAGTAATATGCTACGCATCAGTATCAATACAAAATGACTACCATTTCTACACAAAATCTGATTGCTTTAAACAATGCCATAAAATACCTAAATATTGATACACCTATAAATAAAACTGCTGGGTTTTTAATAATTCCTAACATTTTAAAGATTTTCAAACAAAAAATTGCTCATCATCCATTAAAGTAATAATTACATCTTAAAAATATCATTCAAATATTACAGTAAATGAATTTTTACCCAGCTAGATTGTGTCGCAAGATATTTAAGAAAAAAATTATGACTTAGTTATCAAAGAAGACTATAAATTTCAATTTTTCCAGATTTTTAACATTTTTTCTAAGATTGAAACAAAAGTTTTAATTTCCCTTGAGTTTTTAAAGCTGGTCTAAATAAAATTTAAAGGTATTTCTCGTAACTTAAACAAATTTATTTTACATAAACAAAGGAAATATAAAAACAAGTCGATTATTAATTCATAATCTATGAGTCAAATAATCAGGTACATTGATTTAAGTTTTAGAGTTAGAAGAGAGAGCTAAGTTATTTAGAGTTAATATTGATTCAAGTTATTTAGAGTTGAAAGTATAAATACCACAAGATTTTTTCATAAAAATCTATGTTAATAAAAAATTTTATTTAGCGGCCAAATACCGAATGATCAGTTGGCCATATGTTAGGAATCTGATCAAAATCATTATTCAGTTCTTACTTCTAAATTAGAAAATGCTACAAGTATTTAGCTCAGCTACATATTAATAAGTAAATAAAGAAAAATATACCTCTAAAATTTCTCCTCGAATGACAGTAAGTTCTTTTTCATTGTTTGCAGTTCTTGGGTATACAACCTGAACTATTTTAGCCCGTCTATTTTTCAAGTCTTCTAGCCACTGCATTTGCTGCCTATCAAACTGACGTTCTGGGCTTAGAGGAAGTTCGGGATGTTCAATTGAATCTGAACTAAATTCAGATCTTAAATCTCTTTCCCTGGGATCATGAAAATCAGATTCAGGAGACATTGTATTTCCCCTATAATGAACAAAACAGAATGAATCAACACATTATATTATGCTAAAATTAAAACAAAATGTACAAACAAAAAATGGCTAAAATTAAAGACAACAGCTCTAAAACTACACTATCCCACCATTCAAAATATTGGTCATATTACACAAACCAAACTTCAATAACTGATTTAACAGTAGGGTTTTTCGATGAAATTTTTTTTTTAAATTTAATAAATTAGCACTTATGCTATTAAAAAAAATCATTAAAAATAAAAAGGAAACCTTAATATTAAAAATAAAATTAAAATCTCTTATAAATGATGTTAACATATATTTCCTTAATTTTACAGATAATACTTATAAAAAGAAGCAAAAATAAGTATTTAAAATACAGTTCTTTTTTTTTCTTTCAATTTTTGTATAATTTTAAAGATTAAACCACTGTTTTCCATTTTTTTTAATTACAAAAATATCTTTAAAAAATAAGAAATTATTTTATTTTTTAAGTTAAAGAAAGAAATTTGTAATGAAGACAATCCCTCTAAACAGCTACAGTGTAATCTGCAAAATTGGCATTTTTAAAATTCAGAAAAGCCTAATTTTTATTTAGGAAACAAAAGTCTACAAGAATTGTTTTTTAAATTTAATAAACAAAAACGTCAATGGCTAATACTAACTATCTTTCAGTAATAACTAGCAACCAATATCACTTAGTACAACTTGTAGTAATCTGATCCCAATATTCATGCATAATAATGAATATTTATTTTTTATGCATTATTATCAACTCAAAGAGAATAATGAATGGAAGAAGAGAAAAACATAAAAATTAAGATAGAGCATGAAAAAAAAAAAGAATAAGAAAAATATAAAGAATAAATAAAACTGATCACTAAATCACTTAGCTTTAAATTAAATTAGAGTTAAACAAAAAAAAATTTAAAAAGTTAAACAAGCAGTATAAATATTTTAAACATCTTCACAAAAGCCATATGCCATAAGATTACCTATCTATATATTCTCTACGAGATTCTAAAGGCATATGTTCATATGGGCGATCAAATGGAGGTCGCATATGATCAGGAACTACACCAGGTGTCTCCAAGTCATCACCTCTTTCACTACCAAAATATTCACTTCCAAATTGAGGATCTCTTTCCTGGTGGAAGACTCTTTGATAATCTTGCTCTCTTAAATCACCCTGAAAATTAAACAAAGACTTAAACAATGATCAGAAATAAGATGCTATAAGTAATAAATCTACTGCAGTTACTATTTATTATTATTTATTTTGTAATTTGTTGAGTAATATGTTACTAGTTATAAAAAGTAATGTAGGAAGTACTATGATACAAAAAAACACTAGTCTGTAGCAATTTCTTGAAACTACCTGTAATGTTAGTTTAAAGAAACTATGTCCAAAGGCAAATAATTTTTAGAACTTGATTTGGTGCAAATCTAACGGGAGTTCATTAATGGAAGCAATGAGAATGTACTTTAGCTCTTTTTTTTAAATTCAATTAACTCAATTAACTAATAAGATATAGTGAGGTTTCTAAATTGGCAGAGTTCCTTTTTTTATAAAACACCTATAAAGGATCTCTGCTGTAAAGTGTTGATTAAAAAATTGAAGTAGATGCTTGACCAGCAACTGCCAATTGCAACATTTTCCATTACAAATACACCAAATAAAAATATTTTTGATTCAAATCACGTCAATAGCCTGAAAGATGTTGAATCTTCTTAGATGTTCTTAATGTTGCTTTCTTCTTAGGTCAAAAATAGTACTGTTGAGTTTTAAAGATTATAAAGTAAAATTATGTATGGTTAAGACCGAAATAAATCAATCCTAATTTTGTTTATATTTAACAAAGTATAAGATGGAACATTTACGAGTATAGAGAAGTATTTATATTTTGCAAAGTATTAGAAATAGCAAAACTAATAACAAATAAATAGAACTAAAGAAGACTCAAACCTCGGGTCTTGGCATTCGGCGACTAAGTGTACTGCCATCATCAATGGGATTTTCGGGAGCCCAGCCATTGGAAAATACTGGTCTGTACGTACTTTCATAACCCTTCCATTGATCCCTGAAAATTATAATTAGAAATATATAATAAAAAAAGTGAATTCTGGAATATAAGACTATAAGTAGAACTAATAAAAAGAGGACCAGAAATGTTTCAGCAAATGTGTGACTAAACCAGCAGTTCCGAATTGTTTATGGCTACAGGACCTTAAATTATTGAGGGTTTTTCAACGAAACTGCACGTTCATAAATAAAATTAGTAGCTACGACCAAAACAAAAATAACAACAAAAAGTAATAATAATAATAGAGAATAAATTATTTTTATCATATTTAATTTGAAAAAAGAAATTTATTCTGTCATCGTTTTACCAGTAATAGACTCAAAATTATAAGTTTTATGTAAAACAATTAAATTTGCAGGCCTAGAGTAGCATTTATACTACTTTTGAATTTCTTTTTGGTGTATGCATAAACTGAAAATGAATAAAGTACGTTGAATTATAGTTATCGAAATATAATTCTTTATTTCAGGATGTGATAATTTTATATTGAATGATGAGAAATATTGAATGATGAGAAATATTGTATGATGAGAAATAATGAAATTTTTTATAAATGCATTTCATTTCATAATTTATTCAATATAATATTATTGGAAGAAATATTTTTAAACAAAAATTTTGCTAGCTCTGTTTATTATTTTACTTAAATAATTTCATAAAATTAATTAAAATATCAAATAAATGATGGTTTGTTGCTTGGATATTATTATAATGACAGGTTTCAAAAATCATTGCTGGTTTGAAGAATTTAAACTCTCGAAACCCATGTAAGTCTTATACGAAATCTCATTTGGGAATTGTTGGTCGATACATACAATCCTTAATAACTGAATTCTTCACAGGTATTTAAAAATGGTAAATACACTTTCAAGTATTATTTTTTTTAAATTCCAAACTCAAATAACCTCACATTGAATCATGTGACACCAACAGTTCCAATTATAATTATTAATTAATTATTAAAAACGAAAATACAAACCACATTCATTATAAAATTATCACATTTAAGTTCAACCATCATATACTCTCTACACAGTACGTTAAAAAATAAGACCACTAAATCTGTTCATTTTCGAATAAAAGCCATCATATGCAAATTTTTAGTGAGAATCAAATCATCATTATTAGACACAAGCCCTGGAATTTCATAAAATCATTAGCTGCAATTTGATTGAGCTATTCATTGTTTATTCTAAAGTTTAACACTTGTCTGAATGTGAAGATAAATTATCTAATTGATAGAAATCTGATAGAAAAATTAAATTTCACAGAATTGCTGGTTAGCCTAAAAGAGAAATAGTCAAGTTGATCAATGATTTTTGATTCTAAAACAATTATATACAATATCATACTCAAGAAAGATTTTTTAAACAAAGTAAAACCGAAAAACATTTTGACAGCCAGGACCATTGAAAATTTTTTCGACATACAAAAACGGTTGTTGTTTCCATGTCCAAGAATTTTCAAATAACATCTAAAGTCCGTGCGATTGCGGCCGCCAGCTTCGTTGCCTATTGACTAAAGAGAACAGATCTTAGGTTGTCTTCAAGTGGCAACATTCCCAATTTCAGAACATATGGTGTGAGTGCTGGGCCTTCGAGAATGCGTCTCTGTGTTAACATGACATCCGGGCTGCTTCTGCAGGGAACATGTCCTGGTCTTGTTTGGGAGAATTTTCAACCCTCTTGAAATGATTGGTTTTAAGTCTTGCTATGACTGATATAAAATTTTTGGTGTAGTTGAAGTCAGTGACAAGATGCTTCTAAAAGGTATGATAGAAGTCTGTTTTTACCTACTGCGTTTTCAAGTCTGATGGTGTTACCCGGTTGGTTGTATTTCCGGGTTTCTTTGGCCGGATGGAGTCAAAAGATCACTTCAACCAACGAATGGGAAGATGTTCAGTGATGGTGCAAAAGCCTTTAGCCACTATGGGTTGCACAATTTACTGATCAAAACTATGGTTTCCTTACAATATCAATCTTGCCATATGATGTCTTATTAGATGGTTCTAAATGAGTATATCAGCAAGAGAATGCTTCATATTTACTCAGAAACGGTTTAAAAAGAAAAAAGTTAATGTTTTGCTATGTGTAAGTTAAAATCAAGACGTTAATCCCATTTTCAACCTTTGGCTATGTCCCAAAGGTTCTGTTAATGATAAGCAGCTTTAATCTATTAATGAACAAGAATTATCTATTGTAAAGAAATATGCACAATATCAGTGAAACTCAATTATTTAATCAAATCAATAAAAAAAAGTGAAGTAATTTAAAAAAATAGAGTACCAACATTAATTTTTATATCATCACTGCTTTTAGACGATTGGCCTTGTTATTTGCTAATAATATTTATAATTGCAATTTGTCAATATTCTTCCTAAATTTTATTTCTAAAATTCTTCCTAATCAAATCAATATTTCATTGCTTTAAATTAATGAATTTAATTACAATAAATATGAAATAAGATCCTATATTGTGCATTTAAATTGTAGTTATAACAGTTATTTATTTTGTTACTTCAAAAATAAATAATTATTTTTATGATTTACTAACTGTAAACCAGCTTATTTGACTAAAGTTGGCTGAAATCACATGGCATTTCTTTAAAGCCTTACAGACTGTATTTTTCGTTCAGTAAAATTTGATTAAACAAACATAATTTTTACCTTGGTATTATCCAAGAATCTCCTAAACTATGCCATAAATCTGTTTCTTTAGAAGTGCAACAGTTTGCTAAAAGTTCAATAGCATCTCTAGTTAAGAGAGGGCTAACAACATTAGCAGCTAGATTGGCACTGTGGTTTGAGTCCCGAGCAGCATCTATGATGAGGGCAAGAGGAGTGAAGAGAAAATGTACCAATTCCGGTGCATTTGGATCATGTATGTGACTTTTCAGTTTTGCCTAAAATGTAAATTTCTTTTAATAAATTATTTTATAAAATGTGGTATTAAATGCACAAGATCTGGCAGTAGCTATACTACAACAAACATATTAGACATTACACACTCAAGACAATGAATTAACAATGCGCCATGTTAAATTTGAATATGAAACTAAGCGGGGAAAAAGGATGAAGCATACAAATTATAAATAAATATGCAATTGCTAGGACAAAATAGAGTTCTTATAGGTTTGATAAGCAGCTTTAAAATTATTCAGCTTAGAGTTGCTAAAGAGAATGACAGCATAATCAATAACCACTCTCATTGAAGTATCTCTCATATTAGTGTCAAAATTATGTTAGTTGCAATGAGCTCCATGATTTGCTTTTTCCTTCCTCTTTTTTACCAGCCCAAAAAACAATTTACTTCAGCAAAGTTATGTAAACTATTGGTTAATTCTTTAAGTACAAGAATATCTTTAATTTCAATTTGTTTGTTTAGCTTAAAAGTTATATTATATTTCAACTATAAATTACTTCTTAGCTTTTCGAAAATTAAAATTTTATATGATAGAAATTACAGTTAGAAACATTTAAACCTTTTAAAGACGACAAGAGCTAACTGATACATATGAAATTATTTTGTAATATTTTAATTTATTGTATTCATACATACAAAAGCAAAATAAGTAAAAAAAGAATACGGAAATTTTAAATAGTACAGAATAATGGTACGGTTAAAAATATTTTCTAAATAATTAAATATGTAAAAATAAATAAATTCGAACATACCAAAAGATTAAAGGATAGTTTGAATTTCTGCAATACATCAACAAATTCTCGTTCTGGAGGAGGTTTTGCTCTTATACTTAACATGCCATCTAAAAATAAAAAAATGTTACTCTAAATACAAATTTGTCACACAACAATCACTTTATCTATACAATTTTATACAAAAACAATTATACTGTTTAAAAAGTTGAAATAGCATTAGGAAACAAATTCATCAAATCATAAATCTGGAAAATTCCTGATGATTGAGCTTTAACAAAATATTAAAGTTTAAAAAAATAATAAATTATGCTAAATTTATAATAGAAAATATATCAAAAATTGAATTTGATATTTTGTAACTAAATAACTTAGCTTCAAAATAAACAACAAAGTAGTAATAGTACTTTATTTAAATCACACTAGGGCTTCATAATGGTCTATTGGCAATGGCCAAGGAAACATCCTGAAGGAAGATCTGAAGACAAGCCCTCATAATTTTGATCCTCTGCAGAGAGGATCATCCCTCTCCCCACTTTGGTAGCCCAATGACCTGAAGATGAAGTTAAGCACTTTACAGTAGAACAGTTTAACAAGGAAAGATAACATGCATTGATCCCTTTGCAGGATGATCAAAGTGGTCACCTCACCCCAACACTGACCGCAACCAGTGAACGCAGAGCACTTATTGGGAGCCATGCCCGGGAGGCAAATCAGTCTACTGTGGGACAAACAATAAAGACTATACCTAAACAGTAAAAAAACATTTTTGTATTTATATTGTACTGATGGATGAGTTTGGTAAAAAACTAAAAAATTTGAAGACAGAAATGCAAAAACGTTATGAGCAAACATTTTTCAAATAATTGAAAAAATGTCTGAAATTTGAGCAAGACAAAGTGTACATAGAATATTATAAATGTTTTGATCAAAAAAAAAAATTGATGCCCATTTTTTAAAAAATTGTGTGAATCTTGATGTGTGACTTTTAAATTGCATGAATATTAGTCTCGATTTGAGATTTTTAAATCAAGTAATTATGAATCTCAATATGTATTTTAAAATCGCATGAATACCAATCTGGATATGCGATTTAAAATAGCGTGAATATGAATTGCGATGCATGATCTTTAATCGCATGAATACAAATTGGAATGTGTCATTTTAAATGGCATAGATGTGAATCACAATGTGTGACTTTAAATCATGTGAATGTAATTCTAAATCACGTTTGCATAAGTAGGAAAAAGTGTGAAAAACAAGTTTTTTTCAGGAATTCAAAACAGTGGAACTCCCTTTGAAGAGGTGGAAATTAAAAAATTATTAAGCTGAAAAAACTCATCCCTGATATAGAAATCAACTTTTATTTTATATAATAACCTAAACAAAATTAAATAAACAATAAAACAGTTCAGTAATTTCTTTTATCATATTAAATAAAATTTTGATATACTAAATTTTTGGTGCTACGTTAAAATACATAAATACCAGATAATTATCATTTAAAATGCTACTAAAAATACATTTTTAAAATTAGTTTTGTACTTTACAAAATTCAAGTTGACTAAGTTAATATCTGAAGTATTAAAACACACAGAATAAAACAATAACAAGTTTAGGTGAAAAAAGTAACTAATATAGATAATTTTTTTTTTTCAAATACCTAACTGCACAATTAAAGACAAAAATACAGTAATAAAAGCCAATTTTTATTGGCTTTGTGAGACTTGTGTGCAATGTAAAGCAGCAAAGGTCAAAACATATAGGAGATAAAAATAATGAAATTAAACTGATATAAAAAAAATTTTTTTTTTAAAATTAAAAGAGGCATTAAAAAATAATTTTATATTAGTTAGTACAGTACAGAACCCATTATCCAGAAAACCGGAACAAAATTCAATAAATTTTCCGCCATTTTTTAAAAAAAAATTTTTTTTTCCCTCATAAGATTTTAGGATTTTTCTATCTTTTTTGAAAGATGTTTACTTTACCATCATTTTGGAAATAATCATTAGTGCATTGTTTTTTCTTCTTTTTAAGATTATTTCCAAATATTTGTTATTTTTTTAAAATTGGGTTTAACAATAAAAAAACGGCTTTTCGTAGCAATTCAGAAAACCGGAAAAATCAGTTATCCGGAATAGCGATGGTCCCGATCGTTCTGGATAATCGGTTCCCTACTGTACAATATGTTTTATAACATTCAAAACACTTTTCTTACCTCCCATATCTTTCTTTTTGTGTTTTCGACTCTTTTGCCTTCTTTCTAATTCTTTATAAGCAGCAGCAGAATGTTGTAGTCGCACCACAAACCTCTCGATATCATCAAAACAGTGATTTAGAATAGTCTGAAAGCAGAAAATTCATACTTAAATTGTATGTAACATATAAAGCTAATATATGAATAGTGCGAAGTGCGTTTTACAGGAATTATGATATGGTTCATAATATGTCGGAGTATATAATCTTATGTGAATGTTAAACAATTTTCTTTGACATCAATTAATAAGCAATTTAATTTATATTCTATGCAAATAATAAAGCTAATAATAAGCACAGTTTCATTAGTTATGTTTACATAGTTTTTAATATAAAGTATACAGAAGTGTAAATAATATGTGAGATGATTATGGGAAAGTGGCATAAGTACGAGAGATGCCATATTTGTTAGGTAAGTTGAAGGTCGACATTTATGTGTCTTCCTAATCTACACAGACTGATAAATGATTTAAAAAAATTGCTGATAATAATATTAAATTAATTTCATATTAAGAATAAACTTGTGTTACATAATTTTGTTAAAATATTTTGTAGTAAGTTTTGACAAATATGTTAAGCTATACGGATTCAAACAGAATATTTTACAAAACTGGTTTAAATAAAACATAGTTGTCAATCCTATTGCTAATAAAAAAGCTTTATTTAATGAGGAATTGTTAACGAATAGTACAGTTATTTGACAAAATGAATTAGTAAAATTTAATTGTAAAATAATAATTTATTGTTTTGAGAGATCTGTAAGCTCAGTTGAGAGCTCTCACAACATTTGAAATTTGATATACCATACCTAATCTAAATATTATACAAACTGCACGAGTTGAACAAGTGGTGCCTGCCATTAACTAAGTCTAATAGAAAAAAAGAACAAATAGTACTGGGGTACCTAGGAATAGTAGGATCTGTAATGTTAAAGAAGGCAAATCATCAAGAAATTATTTGATATGAAGTTTCAAAAAAGTAGTAACATTAGGATAGGTTGATTCAAAATTCATAGCTATAACTTATCTAATTAAAAAGAACTCATCAATAAAAATTACACAGATTATAAAAGGAAGTTCACACTTTGTTTACAATATTTAGAAATGCTCCATGCAACTCTCCTTGATAACACGGTAATCAAAAGTCTATAACATGCCATACATTCCAAAGCATATCTGTAGTCACTAACAGAAATGCATTAGAAATGTACATTTTGAGCTCTACAATTGTTTTCAGCAACCAGGTACATACATAGGTTTTTTTTGGTAGAATTCAATAGATAGAAATCTGAGGGTGACAATTCCAGAATTCAAACTGTGCATTTCTAATGCATATGTGTTAGTGACTCCAGATGTACTTTCGATGTTGAGTGTTTAGATAGATGCTGTCCATGTTACCAAGAGGAGTTACACAGAACAATTATAACAATAACTTTCAATAACTAACAATTATAACAATGAAAAATGAAAATAATAACTTTCTTCTTATTTGTGTAATTCTTATTGACGAATTTTTTAAATTAAATATTTATAACCATCTGTAAACGCTTAACTTATTTTAAATCAACCTGTACTTGGAAAAATTCATTCATAATCTAAAAACTTAAATTAATAAATAAAAAACAAGAGTTCTACTTAAAACTTTATTAAAAGTTCTAGAATTTCTTTAAAGAGGAAAAAAAATCACATTTTATTAAAAGAGGCTTGCTTGTAAAATCCACTTATTTTCTTTTAGTATAATAGAGGAAACAAACTAAGCTACTTGTTTATAAATGAATAGGTATAAATAAATATTCAAATAGTTTATTTGTAAGAATAATACTTAAAGAATAAAATCAAGAACGTACAACTTCTCTTTCATATTTATCACTAGTTGTTGAACTTGTTTCATCATTAGATTCCCGTGCAGCATAGCCAGCGGCTCTTTCCATTCGCTGCTGAAGTACAGAACCTCCTCTAGGTGGGGGTGGTTCTAAATAAATTAAAATAATTAAAAACAGATAAATACTGACAAATCCAGAGAACAGGGTATATTATAGTGATGAGAATATAATTTAATGTTTTTTAAAATCAAATAAATTCAATGAAATTTTTAAATAGTGTTTATAATTTTTATCAGTAAATATCAATGTTATACACGTTTATACCATGACATTTAATACCATGTGAAATACAAGTACAATAAATAAAACTGAAATGCTTCACTTCACATTTTTCAAGAGAAAAGGTATGAAATATAGAATTAAATATATTAAGATAAATAGCATTTTTATGTAAATTAATTATCAAAACTGAACAGTCCTTTTTGCTTTAGAATTTGATATATTTTCTGAATTCATTTCATCTTCTTTGTCTTCGGAAGACAATTGATTTTTCTGTGCAATTTCTTAGTTGCATCGTTATTTAGTGCTGTAAACTTATTTAAAACACACCCAATTAAATTATGCCTATAAGTTCCAGAAATTCTTGATTTTTCTCCTTATAAAATATTGAATTTTATCTAATGATTTGATTTCTTACCTGTAGTGGCATGTGTGCCATAGGTTCGTCAGCTTTGTTCTAGATCAATTATTCAATTCAGTCATTTTAGCTTATGTTTGTAAATTGTTTATCTTGTTAACCAAAAATTAGTTGCAAGACTTTTTATAAGACCATCAAAAATGTACTTAAGAAAGGCTTTGTTTTGAGTAAATTCTACTAAAATCATGTTAACTCAAAAACAACATTTTTTCCTCACCTTTATCTAGCAAAATATCACAACTTATTCTGCAATAGTTAAATTAAATAATTTTATGAGTTATTTAGTCAATAGTAAATATAAGAACAAATTTTTAAGTAAAAAAAATCTTTATCCCATAAAACTTATAATAAACGGATGTTTCATTTCACATTTTTTAAGAGAACATTCAAAGTTTAAGATTACTTTTACATTTATTTATTATTCTCAACTATTTGATAAATTTGTAAAAAAAAGAATATGATAAAAAATAGTAAATACACAATAAATGTCACTACTATATACACTCAATAATACAGTTACTTACGAGGTAGTGAGGAAGATGAAGCGGAGGCACTGAACATAGCAACATGCTCACGAACTTTAGAACTATTGCCATTAACTGGTGGATCAGGGGGTGGATTATGTGGTGGGGGAGGCAGGTATCTAACATTTTCAGCAGTTCTACATGAAAGAGTACTCAAGTTTCAAAATAAAATCTAAAAAGCTTGCAAATCATGCATAAACTATTAAAATCATGCTAGCATCTAGTACTACAATTAAATTAAAATACTTAGCAAAGCCTTCAAACAAATTTAAATAAATAAATAAATAATGCAATTAGCAGCAGTGAGTTTGGCCAGTATTATCTTGCAGCTATGCCAAGAATTTTATTTAATTATTTTTTTAAGTAAATAGCTAAATGAATAAAATAAAATTAGGAAAGCATTAAAATTGGCCATAAACATCTTACCTCTTCCTGGCCATTATAAACTATTGTTTTGCAAAATAAAATTAAATGAGTAAATAAATTGATTACATTCACACTCATAAATAAGTGGGTGCTTTAACCTAAATTAATTTGCATAAAAGAGTAGGAGACTGATCTACATGTAGAGCTGATATGAATAATTAATTAAATTTACTTCTACATAAACTAAATAATTTTAAATTTCACATAAAAGATCATAATAGGCATAGATAATTTGAAAACAAATGATAAAAAGTATTATTAATAAGTTAATGTACATCATCATGTACAAAATGCATACCTAGTGAAGAAAGAAACATAGTCTTAATTTAAATTTGTAGAAAAAATAGAATCTTATTTAGTCAAAATAGGTGGCAAAAATAAAATCTTACTTAGTCTTTATTTTCCCTGACATAAACATTTTCATTTCATCTACAACATCTTGAGCCTATAGAGGGGAAGAAGTAATTTTATTTTAAATACAAATAATAAGGAGAAATGATACAACAGAAAATATATTTACCTTTATTCAAATACTAAAAGAAAACAAAATGATAAAATGAAGTATTAAAGATGTTAATTATTTTTTAATTAAAATCTCAATAGTAAAAACAATTTAATTTGAAAGCATTAGTTTTATATATTAATGATATTAGGCTCACAATAACGAAGGAAACGAAATAAAGAACAGGCTCAAGAAATAGAAAATTCAGTCTAAATAATTCAAACTCATATTAGTCTTTCAACTGTTGAGTTGTAACTCAGTAAAGAATAGTATATGGCTGCTTAACCGCAGAAAAAACTAGTTTTTATGCAAAATTAACCTGGTAATTCAACAGTTAATAGTAATAATGGGTAATAACATAATAGCTTTAGTGACATGCAGAGTAGGGGGCCTAAGGGATTTGTAATCAAAATTTTAAAACTATAACTAACATTATGAAGTAACCTTATCATTAATAAAATAATTTGGCATAAGGAAAAATATCTAATGAAAAATATAATATGATTTTTAAAGTAATTTAAAACTGAAGTTTTAAAGCATTTAAGTACTAAAAAGAAAGCTTGGCTACAAAGCCTTAAATATTCTTTACAGTTAAAAAGAAAAAAAATTAAAAATATTTAGTTGAAAATACTATAAAATAATGCCTGCTTATATTTACATGAAAAATTTAACTAAAGTAAGGATTTAGGTTTTTATAAATGCATAATTTTTTCTAATGTTTTTATTTTATTTAACTTTGTTTAAAAAAGGTTTTTTAATCATTCCATTGATTACAGCCTGATTATCTTATCAAGCACTGAACATCTCTCTATATACATTTATCCAAAGGTACTTAATACTTGCTTTTTACTACCAATGCTAACTCTATGATGGGAAATTTGAATTTCTAGCAATATCTTAGAAAATTTGTAAATCTAGTCTCATCATAAAGCTAAAATCTAATAATGTACAATAATACACATAGTTTACAATAATAATAATAATTTATTTTAATGCTCATAATGCATAAAGAGACGTTTTAAAAAAAATTATGGCAGAATTTTAAGGTTCAATAAGTTTAAATTAAGATATCCCAACAAGGTTTAGTGTATGCTGAAATTTTACATTTTCTTTACAGAGTAAGCATATACCAAAGAAATTGGTCTATGACCTGAGTTTAAATCAAAAACTTTATTTATTTTTATAATAAATTCAAGTTTTTAATGATTTTTAACCTCATTGACTTTAAAAGCCTAGACTAAATTGTACTGGGAATTTCTCAGCTATGCACTAATTTTTCACTGCTTTTTGAGGGGAAAACCAGTCTTTTGATACAGGAAAACCTGTAGTTGAAAGTTTGCAATAAACCTGGACTATCTCGCTGAGAGGGTAAATTAAAATTTAAAATACATTTTATAGCAACAGGCTGCCTCCAATCATAATCAATAAAAAATAACTGGAAATTGAAAAAATATATTCTAATAATCAAATTATTAGTTTAAGAGACCCATAGAGAGAGAAAGGTCTTAATTTACAATAGTTTATGATTGATGTAGGATTAGCCCATAACTTAAATGATGGAACATTTTATCATTTGCAAAATCGTATAAATTAAATGAGACACTTTAGAAAATTAAAATTATCTTTTCATTTCTTGATGTTTGTTATAGAGACAATTTTATTTTTCTAAAATATTTTTGAATTATACAGTAAAATATTATTATTTAGTTTCAACACATACAGTCTTATACTAAAATGTACAAATTAGCAAAAAAAAAAAAAAAAAAAAAAATTGTCTCTGCAATTAAAAACAGTTTTCTACCACAATATTAATAATTTCAAATAATAATTAATCCAAGATAATTCTTTTAAAAAATATTTCATTCAAGATGATTGAAAAAGAGAAAAAAAATTCATTAATATCTTGCTCTTCATGACCCTAAAAGAACTACATCAAAAATAATTAATTTTGTAGTTAAAAAGTATTTTGAAACATTGATAGCAAATGTAAGAATTTATGTAAAAATATGAAATTTAAAAATAAATTAAAGAATAGCAAAATTTATTTTAATGCAAAGGCAAGAAAAAGTTAGCTTTAATACAGAGCAAGTTAATACACTAATTATTTGCAGTAAATTTGTTAAAAATTTTCTTATAATTATTTTCATGAATACACATTATTTTAATATCTTACATTATTTTTTTCATTTCTGATATTTAATTACATTTTTTTAAATATTTTTATTCTTCCTTACCATGATTTTCATAAACGTGTATTTACTATTCCAAAGAAGAATTAGTATTTTAATGATGAGCTTAAAATATTGTAACTTATTTTTCAGGATTAGATTGCAAGGTCAGTTGAATGTGGCTAAGCTGTACTAAATATAAAGTAAAAAACTTGGAATAAGGCAACAAAATGTAACTGTGCTAAGCCATTGAGCATACATACATGTCTGAATTTTTTAGCTCTCACACTAAAAAACTTATTTTTAATTGCAGTATATAATAATATAGTGGTACGAATAATAACAAAATAATTATAACAAGAGTATGACAAATATATTATAATTATCACTAAATTTAAATAATAATCAAAATTATAAAAATTTAATAATTAAAAAATAGTTTAATTTATTGAGAATCATATTTTAATAATAGATTGCACAAATGAAAATTTACATTTCAATAGAATGAATTCCTGAGGATTTATAACTCAATTGTAGTCTGAATATTTGAGTATAATAACTTTTTGAATTTTTACGAACTTACTACTCAAAATTCTTCGGTATCTATCTGGTTAAAACTTAAAGGGTAATATCTAACAAGACAAGTTTCAGAATTGGATGATTTATCCCAGTCTTTAACAAGTGCACAACTTCAACTAGAATCTCATTTTATTTGCTTAACTAAATCAAGAGCATTTTAAACAATATTACACATTTAATGCATGGTTAGACAATGATTCAACAAGAAATTAAAGAAGTATATAAAAAGTAGAACTTACATAAACTTTAGAGCACTGAAATATGTGCATCTCTGATTGATTAGGATTTTTGTTCTTTGAATCTTCTCTCACAATAAAAATAAGAATATTATTATACAACTCCCTTGAATCTTCACTAGTATATGCAGTAGGATCACTTATTAGATTCATGGGAAATTTTTCTACTACATCCTATCAAAGAAATCATACTACATTATACATTACGCTTTCAAAACTATATAGATTTTATAGTAATACAAAACTAATCAAAAAATTTTTGAAACAGGGAAAATATTCAAAAATACAACTAGGTAATATAGGTTTTGCCATTTCAGAAAATAATAAAAAATGGATTATGAATGCAAAAAAATATATGCATATATAAATACTTACACCATCCTCATAATCCAAAATTAAAACCCAATTTTTATCGAGCTTCATTTGCATTTTTTGAGTCCATATACCATTGCTTTTTTCCATTTGAAGAAGCCTTCGGAGTCCATCTTTTGGTGACACAATTCCTTTAAAAGATAATTAAATATAATTTATAATAATTAAATATATTTTAGTATATTTATAATTAAATATATCTTAGTATATTTAGTATATTTATAATTAAATATATTTTAGTATATTTAGTATATTTATAATTAAATATATTTTAGTCCATATTTAATAAACTAATTATGTTTTACAGATGATTGACAATATTAAAAAGCAAAACTAAAATAATTTCAATATTAGTCTCTTTCAATTTTTAAAAATCTAAGCATAATTATATTATGAATGAGAATTTTTTATTATGATCAATTAGATATAACATTTAATACAGGACGGTTAAAAGTTTTCTCCCTGGTTTCAGAAGATAATGATTATACAACAGAAATAAAACTTGCATCAAATATAAAAAAAAAATATTTCTCCAAACCTCACATGAATTAGTCCTTAGCAGACATAAATCTTTTTGAAAATTAAGTTGCTGATAATAGCAGATAGCACACAAAACTGATTTAAAGCATCAAGTGAAATAATATTTTATTAACACTAGGAAGGCTTCTCTCGACAGTATATGGCACATTTCTGCTGTATTCATCATAATTCTGTACAAAAATTGTTCTTCATTAATTTGAAATAATGTGAAATACGCATTAACATGAAAAAAAACCAACTCAGAGAATAAGAATTCATAGAACTAAGCGCTACCTCATCCCAAAATGCACTATCATTAGTACAGATAATTAAATTTTTATGTAAATGGACTAATCTTCTGAATTCATCTAAAAAAAACATTTATTTACAATTTATTAAACACAAGAAGTTCTCTTAGAAGCAGGGCTAAAATTACAATAAAAGAAATTTACAAATATAGCATTTTAAAAAAAGGACAGAAGATGTACCAGTACCACAAGCACCAGTTTTTTCTCAAATTTTGCACTTATACTTCGTATAAAAAATGACAATTTCTAACCTCTTTTTTAATTTGTATATAGACGACGACATTTATACAGAGACGACAAGTATTTTGTGAGCTAGTCTAGTACCAATGTGTTTTTTTAATATTCTCCTATTAACGCAAATATTGAAAGAAAAATGAAAAATAGGTACCAAATTCAGATCCAACTGAAAACGTTGCTAAATGCTCTAATAAATATCTTGGTCCATCATCTGTAGTTACGTCACTCATTTGATCTGTAATATGCAAATTATAAATGAATACAAGGAATTAGAAAAAATTGAAAGTAAATTTAAAATAAGTATCTGAATAATATAAACCTGAATTGTAGCCATTTGGATAACGATTCCTGGATCCCATTTTCATGTTTGTAGGATCATGTACAGTTTCATCAACTCTATCTACTAATCTGATAAACAAGACCAAATTAATTTTGTACAAGTAATAGAGAAAAATTTTTGAAGAAAAAAAAAGAAAACTCTTAATAATTACCTAAAATTATGGTCTAAATTGCTTGATAAGGTATGGTTTTCAACAACGCAAGGCATTTTTTGTTGAAAGTAATATTAGCCTAAAAAGAAATAAACTCCATTAATATAATAAGTACAGGTTTTTAAAAATTATGTGTCTATTGAATCAAACAAAATTAAAAACTGCTGTAAGCAAAAAAAAGGAAGAAAAAAATAATGATGCCCAGAAATATTTTCATGCAAAGTTATCAAACCCATAATAAATGAAACAATAATTGCTTGACAAAAAAAATTTCAAGCACAGAAATATTTATACACAAAGCTATTTTACCAATAAATGATGAAGCAGTAATTGTTTCACAAACTTTTTTATTTGATAAAATTTTTTTTGAAAATGACAATAGAGTTTAAATATAAGATACTTGAGCCTTTGTGAATAAAAAGTTTAAGACACCCAATGGAAAAGGAAACAGTTATCAATTTAAGTTTTAAATCAGTGAAATTTTAATATAGTTATTTTACATGTAAGCTAGTTAGGAATGGGGCTGTAAAGGTAAAATAAAAAGGAGAATATTTTAAATTTAGTTTGCAACAATTAATATAATTTCTATTTATTTCCACAATGGCATTTCCCCAACTACAGGGTCACAGCAATAAGCATCTATTTTACTTATTAAATTATTAAAAAATTACTTAAATTTAATAAATACATGCAGGAACATCATAATTAGGGAAATATTTTTTGAATAATTAATTTAATTTATAGAACACAAAAATCAGAAAAATAAATTTTTTGTGATGCATGAGTTTCCTCATTAGTTACTTAAAAAAAGCATGTTATTTGACTACTTAATTGCTGCCATTGAACAAGCAATTTTGATTTTCAAATTTCTAGATAATTCTGTTAAATTTCTGCTGAGATTTTAATTATTAAATTTCATTTATTAGAAAAAATGTCTTAGGTTATTAATATTAAGAATAATTACAACACAACTAAGCTTGAATAGGTAAATAAAGATACATAGAACATAAACTTCCATACATATTTAAGTAAAATTGCATGCAAGATCTGATGTAATGGAGCTTCAAAACGTGTATGCAATTTTACATCCATTTGTGATTTTAAGTTGGTTAATGTATTAATTAATCATCATTACAAAATTTTAATTTTTCTTCAAGCATAGTATACCATGATTAATCAATAAATATATATATATCCTTGCTTTTACAGTGGATTTGTTAATTATAATTTTTGTATTTATTCTTTATGATTATTTAAACTTCATACTTAGAATATAAATATAACAGAAGTTATTAAATATATTGAAATAAAATATTTTTTTTTTTATAAAAGCAGGCATTATAAAGCTCTTATTAAAATTAAATATTCAAGAGCCTCTTCATTGTCTATCAATAAGTTGACTGAATATTGTCAATCAACATTATTTTTCATTACGCTCAGAAAAACGTTACATAAAATAAATATTTCATCTATCTTTATTTATAGGAATTATTACACTTTTAAAAATTAGTTTCAAGAAAGGTAAAATAATGTTTAGATTATCTCACCTATAATTTAATTATTCTCTGTAATTTTTCTTAAACTTTTTTTTAAATCTCGATTCTTACTCATTTAAAAAATAGTTCAAAAGATGATTGCCTAATATGCGGTTTAAAGACACAGTAATTTGTAAACAGAAGATATTTATGACATTATCGGCAATTTTCAAAGAAAACTATCAAGTTTTCAGGGATGGGGGAAGGAAACAGAGCTGAGGAAATAACTGGCATTGATATTTAATTTTTCATTCAACAAATATGAATAGGTTATTGTGCCAACGAATGATATTGTATTTAAATAACATCAGGCAGATTGAACAATGAAAAGTTGTTTCATACAGCTGTTCTAATTTACAATGCAGATTTAACGCGATTCTTAAGAGACTTTATTCTTATTTAGTTCTTTATTGAAAAATTAAATTCAATTCTACAGATGAAATATTCTTTAGTAAATTTCATGTACGCATTCGTTGCATAACATTCTTCATAGAAAATTTCCACTAGATTTTTTTCAAATAAAACGAGCCATTCGAATTTTTGATACGGTTCAAGCTCCGAATGTCACAATAATGATACAAATGCTCATTTCTGTTCCGTTGGAAAAATATCAGCGAAAATTTTCAATGATAATCTACTTAAATATTTAAAAGATGCGTTATAAAGTAAGGCCTAATAATGATTCAAGCGCTCATGTTTGTTTCGTTGGAAAAATATTAGTAAAGATTTTTAGTAATTATCTACTTAAATATTTAAACTATTAGAATTGAATATAATGTAGAGTGTAATGGTACAAGATTCGAAACCGGTTATACTGCAGTAATGGTAGTATGCACACAAGAATTGAACGTGAATGTAGAGTTAAATGGCGCAAGTGCTGAAACCTTTTATACTACACCAAACGTAAACGGTACTACTTACTAAGTAAGCAAATCAAATAGTGCTACAAACTGAGGCAAGAAAAAAAGAAGTTAAGATACGTATTTGGAATAGTGGTGACCGTGTTTGCATAAAAAGAGTAAACCTCTGAAGGATTTAAGCACGCTAAATAAACCGATTTAAGCCATGCTATAAAGTAAGCAGAGCTGCCAACATGGATTCGAAAAAATCCTGTAGATTTTATGAAATATTATGAATTTCATGATAATTGTTGCATAATGTATAAAATATTTTACACATAGGGTTTTTAGGGACTTTTAACGTCATCAAAAAAGAAAACCTGCAATATTTTCTTGTTATGATTGACATTAAACATACTTGAAATGTATTATGTGTACTCATAATTTCGAATATTAATAGGCATTTAATTCATCAAGGACAGTTTAAAAAATTGTTTTAATTAATTTAAAAAGAGAGTTCTGAATAAAAATGAACTGAACATTTTAGAACAAAAAAAGTTTTAAATTGATTTCGATAAATGAGTGTCGCTTTATTATATATTAGTAATACTTATTTAAATATTCAAGCAAACAGACAATAATGTACTAAAATTCGATTTCAAAAGGGATTTTTTTTTTAGGAAATTTACTCAATTTTAGAGAATTTTCTAAAATGTACAAAAAACAGGAGAATTTTAATTAAACCAGTAGGCCAAGAGAAACTGGCAAAATCCAGTAGTCTACTGGAAAATCCAGTAGAGTTGGCAGCTATGAGTAAGATTGAGGGGAGGAAAAGTCGGAAAGAGAACTACTGCTAGCCCATAGTTGTAAAGCTCTTGTGAATATAAAAAAGATAAATCCTAGAAAAAGTAAAAAAAATTAAAGTAATCTACTTTTCTTGGGCATTGGAAAAAACATTGTTTTCTTTGTATATACGTAAAACATATTTTTCTTAAGAATGAGTTGTTTTATTATTATACATTTACTAGACTAAAAGTAATTTATTATTATTATTAAAAATTAGAACATTTATTAAAAGCCTAACAGAAGAAAGTGTACTTCTAGGGTTTGAATAACAAAATTTTTTATATTTTTGTTATTCTACCTAATACGGGAATCTAAAACCAGAGAGAAAAAATTATCCAGATTCCAAATCGAATAAAGTTATTATTCTAACTCGTACACCCAGTCAATCACAGTAGAGCGCAGTTTTTCTCACGATCATTCCATTCACCCATTCTTTAATTATAGAGTAGGTACAGAAAAATTTAAAATATATTATTTGCAGTGGGAAACAAAGTTACGGTTAGATGGTGCGAAAATTATGATTATTAATATGATATCAATTAAATATATAGCAGATGCAACACCATCCAGAAAGTATCTGAGGGAAGGAGAGAAACCCAGTGATGTGTGAAAGCATCCAAAGCGTTTAAAGAATTTTGAATGGAGGCATTTTTCAAAACAAAAGCTTACTCTAGCATAACAGTTGATGCAATTTCCCCCTTTTGTTTTTTTAATGTCTACATTTTGTTATCAAATCAATTTCCTCATATCTTCGGCATCATGGGTATGTATATATGGATCCAGGTTCTGAAGTTCAATTCCCTTTTAGCGACGAGAAAGTGAATTGCAAATAATAGCACTTCATCGCAATGATGGATAATCCATGAATCATCCACAGTACATTCTTGGAAAAGTCGGTTCTATGCATTGAATCATAGTATCGGTACTTTGAACTATGACACGGAACAAATTGCGAAATGCGTTAAAGCACATTGCAACTATAGCATGCGTAATACGGAAGCGTACGGAAAAAGAAAAATACTTCACCATAAAGACGGATAATCTCAGACATTAACACAGTATATTCTCAGAAAAGTCGGTTCAAAGTTGATTCATAGTATCGGTACTTTGAACAATAGAAAAACAAATCAATTAAGTTATGCTTTTTCCGGTTAAATAAATAAATAAACAAGGCGGCCAAAATGAATGAAAACAATTTGTTTAAAGTTAATTTTAAAATGTATCAGATTTGTCCCAATCGAATTATGAAACAAATCGCATTTAAAGGACTTGCGAAAATATAATGACAAGTTATATTTCTTTATTGTTCAAGAAAGAAGCGTTTTCGGCGGAAAATATTACGATTTCCAGAGTGACAATAAGATGCTTCTGTAAATTGTGTTGTTTAGTAAAAATTCCGATTAATTTGATAAGTACTTATCTGAAATCAATACTAAAGAATAGTTTTATTTAAAAAAAATCCATTTTGGAAAAAAATGGCTTGTCATTATATTAATCTCGAGCCTTTTATTTATATCTGTGACTTGATTACGAATATCTGAATATCATTGAGTAATGAAAGGAAGAAATCGCAGCTAAAATGTCTTAAACGGATGCTATACCTCGGTAGAAACTTTTCATTACAAATTCTGTTTCATCCTTATTGGTATTTTAAAATTGAGAGAAAGGTGAGTTCATGGAAACCTAAAGTAAATCATGAAGTTTCAAATGCAGAAAAAATGCTTATAAAATGCCAAAATGCAAACAAAATTATTGCAGGATGATTTCCCATTTCGTACATATTTTTTTTTCGCGTTTTGATATCTTAAAAAAAATTTGAGCCTTTGAAATTTCAAAGTTAACGTAATGTTTACCTGAAC